TTACATTGCAACATGAGATTCAACAGGAATGATGTGATGAGAGCACATATGAAGATTCATCTCCTTAATAGGCCCACATTCAACTGCACTGTATGCGATAAAGTTTACCTGTTGGAATCCACTTTGAAATCACATTTGAAGAATCACGTGATGAACTGACAGATGTATTTTAAACCGAAGCACGCATTGCTATTTCTGGTGTTGCTGTATTTTCTGTAAGATAAATTCGTTTTTCCTCGTTGTATTGTTATCATTGTATTGTTTTATTTACGGATTATTTACGCATTCCTTTACCATTTTTTTATTATTTCTCTTAGTGAATAAAGTACCTGGTTTCGTGTCCACTTGCAGCTTAATAGCTTTTTCATTATTAATGAATATATGACAAGCAGGTTACTTACATGCCATGCGTGATGAACTTGCAATTAAGTGTTACTGTTATTAAATTACTGATGAAATGATACTGTCTCATATGAATTCCTCACTCGATTATAGCACAAATAACATGGAAGTAAACTTTTGGCAACGTTCAATGCAAATTTATATAAAATATATATTTTTATTACATAATTTATATATATATATATATATTTGAAGAAACAAATTTATGTATAATGCAATAATAGCAACGTTTAATAGAAATTTATTCATCATAATACTAGAATAGATTTAATGTTGAGATAAGTTTGATCAAAATTAAAAATTTCAATTTTTCTCTTTCAATTTTTGTTTTCCCTTTTTTGGGAAAACAAAAATTGATATTTCTGAGGGAAAGAATAATTAGATCGTTTTAGGTACAAAATAATTTAACCAAAAGAAATTCTATGTTTGACAGCGAGTTCAATGCATTTCAAATCAAAATACATATTGCTATTTTGTTGAATTTTCTATAAGCTAAATTCATTTTTCCTTATTGTATTGCTAGCATTCTATTGCATTACATATATCGTTCCTCTACCGTTACCTTATTATTTCTCTTCTCTTAGTGAATAAAATTCGCCGTTTCATGTCTACTTGCTGTGATTTTCGATAGTAATCAATGTATTAGATTATTAAAACAGAGTAAAATTGGCGAAAACTTTGTCAAAAAGGGGATCCGCTCTTACGTAAGAAGACTTATACAGGTTAGAAGCCATTCAACTGTTTGGAGTGCAACAAGAAGGCCATCTGTTGCATTCTCGATGATATCTGGGTTTATGAAAAGAGAAAGCAAAAAGATGGAAAGATTTTATGCAAAGTGCTAATATTTTTTAGATATGATGGTAGAAACTGTGGTAGCATTTTGGATAGTACGATCTCGAAATGTCAGTTTATTCATCACCATTTTCATTTCTTTCCTGATTTCTTCTACCAACTTACCTAAATATCATTAATATTACAGTATTACACTAAGATTACAATCAATAAAGCTCAAAGCTTCGGAATATCTCGTTGAAATTGGAATTTACATAGTGTCGCGAATCCCGATTCGCGAGATTCCAACCATACCCCAAACAAACAAATAAATTTCTTGTAAATAAATCTCAACAATAGTGTAAACCATTTAACCAATTTACATTCTTTAAAATTATTTCCCATACGTTTCTTTTTTATCTTTGTCTAACGGAAATTCACATCTTTATTTTAATGACAAAGAATGTCCAATTTGCATGTCAACCTTCCCATCTGATCTTGTTACAATGCTTATTATGTAATTGGATCTTTACAGTTTCCTTTGTATCTAAATGAACACCCTTTTTTAAGGTTTTATTTAAACTACTCCCACTCTCTAATGCATATAAACCCTGTAAATCGGTTAAAACTCAAATAAAACCCAATACAACACAACACAACCCAATTCAAAACAGCCCAGCGGATCTTAGGAAATTTCAATTCGACTCATTTTAAATTTATGAAATCCCTCTTTTCACATTTTCTTTTCACTTTCACTTTATTCATTTTATTATTGTGTTTGTTTTATTTCAGTGTATAATCAATTAACTTCTCATTCTATTTCGTCAACAAATTTATTTGGGAAAAATTTTCCAGATATTTCCAGATTATTTATTTATCTCAGTTTTATCCCAAACATTATTATCATTACTAGGAATTGTTCGACACATAAAGTCAACTTACTAATTGATTAAAAACGATTGGGTCAACTGTACCAATATATCAGATCAGTGACGACTTACTAATTGATTAATAACGATTGGGCT